TTTACATTATAAATGTTTCCTCCTCCCATTTTTATTGGAGACACTCTTTGTTGTCTCTAGAGGTACAGTGCACAGGGAGTTATGCTGCTAAACCAAAGAGGGTGTCCCTCTAGTGCTTGGAATCCCCCAGCTGCGACACCAGAGAACTATGGGCAATCTCCTCCGATGTGATTCACAGCCTCCAAAGCCTCCTGGAGGGTCATCTATGCATCAGTTCCAACTCAGTAGTAGTGAGTTCTTTGGAAATGCACCCTTAGGAGTAACAAATTAAAAATCATTATCCAGAATACAAAGAATCTTAACCCTGGGCTGATTGGCAGCATCATGATAGACGGTGAAGAGATTGAGACTGTTAACAACTTCAGTTTGCTTGGAGTCACAATCAACATTCCTGGTACCAGCAGCCAGGGAATCAAAAGACAAATTGTATTGGGAAAGTCTGCTGTCAGGGACCTCTCCAGAGTACTGAACAGCAATGATGTCAGTCTGGGGAGTAAAGTGTGCCTGGTCCAGGCCATGGTCTTTGCAATTACCTGCTATGGATCAGAAAGCTGGACAATGACTAGGAATGACAGAAGTGAATTGATACCTCAGAGCTGTGGTGCTTTAGAAGAGTATTGAATATACCATAGACTGCTAGGAATATAAACAGGTTTGTCCTAGAGAGGGTGAAATCAAGCTGCTCCTTGGAGTAAAGGATTCTGCAGCTTTGTCTGACACGTTGCAAGGAGGGACCAGACCTTGGAGAGGGACATCATGCTTGGGAAGGTAGAGAGACAGTTCAAAAGAGGAAGACTCTCAATGAGATGGATTGACTCAGTGACTGGGTACTGGGGGTAGATGTATCAAAGACAATGAGGTTGGCTCAGGATAGAGCAGGGTTCAGAGCTGTTTTACATAAATAAGGTTGCTGTGAGTCGCAGGCAACTCGACAGCATATAACAACAAGAAGTTGAATTTACCAAAACTTTAATGTTGTTATTATTAGGTGTTATCAAGTCGATTATCACTTATGGTGACCCTATGAACAACAAATCAAAACCTTGTCCTACCTTACATCATCCACATGTTCGCAGCCAAGTTCGAGGCCATTGTTACATGTACTGTGTTTGTCAATCCATCTCACTGAGGGTTCTCCTCTCTTTCTCTGATCCTCCACCTTTCCAAGCATGCAGACATTTTTCAAGTACTAACTCCCCCTGGCAACCTGTCCAAAGTATGTAAGACAAAATCTCACCACCTTTGCCTCTAAGGAGGACCCTGGTTCTACTTCCTCCAAGAAAGCTTTGTTTGTTTTTTGGTAGAACATGGAATATTCAATACCCTTTTCCAAACCCACAACTCAAAAGCATCAATACTAATCCTGAAATCCATTTTCATTGTCCAAATTTCAGATGCATAGTAAGTAATTAAAATACCATGCCTTGGATCAGGCATCCCTTAGTCTTTAAATTGACATCCTCCTTGCTCTTCAGAATTTACAGTGTCCTTGACGGTTGATTTCCTCAATGAAACACATCTTTTGATTTTTTGGCTGCTGTACCAAGGATGCTGATTATGGTACAAGTGCAATTTTTGTATCCCTCTATCATGATGCTACCTATTGGTCTAGTTGTGATGATTTTTGTTTTCTTTCTTTTTTTATTTTTGTTTTCTTGATATTGAGATGTGATCTGTGTTGAAGGCTGTAGTTTTGGTTCTTCTTCAGTAAGCACTTGAGGTCTTCTTCATTTTCTGCAAGCAAGGATATGTCACATACACAGGTTGTTGATGAGTCTCCAATCCTGATGCCACATTCTTCTTCATATAGTCCAGTTTTTTGAATTATTTTCTCAGCATACAGATTGACTAGGTGTGGAGAAAAGATACATCCCTGATGTACACCTTTTCTGATTTTAAGCCATGCAGTGTTCCTTCATTCTGCTCAGACAACTTCTTCTTGGACTATGTGTAAGTTTTACATGAACACAATTAAGTGTTCTGGGATTCTTATTCTTCTCAATGTCAGTAGTAATTTGTTATGATACACCCAGTCAAATGCCCTTTCATAGTCAATAAACACAAAAACATTTCCCCCCACCCGTGGTGTTTTCTAGTTTCAGCCCAGATCCATCTGGCATCAGCAATGATATGTAATGTATCATGGCCTTTTCTGAATTCAACTTTAATTTCCAACAGTTCCTTGCAAATGTACCATTCCAGCTCATTTTCAATCAGCAAGATTTTACTTGCATATCATATTAATATTTTTCAATCCTTTCCACACTGTTGGATAACCTTTTTGGAAGAAAACTGGGGACAAATATGGATCTATTTCTGTTACTTGGCCATTTAACTGTCTTCCAGATTTCTTGACATTGACAAGTGAACCCATCTAGAGCTCCATCTGTTTGTTGAAACACATCAATTGGTATTCTATCAGTTCCTGGGTCCTTATTTTTATGTCAGTGCTTTCAGCACAGCTTGAATGTCTTCCTTTACAACCATTGGCTCTTGATCACACTCTATTTCTTGAAATGGCTCAGTATTGATTGATTCATTTTGGCACAGTGACTCTGCATATCTTCCATCTCCTTTTTATGATTCCAGCATCATTCAATATTTTGCCCATAAAATCCATTAGTATTACAACTTGATGTTCATCATTTCTTCCAGCTTGAGAAATGCCAAGCATATTCAAATGTGTTATAATGAAATGTGAAAAGATTTGGAGTTAGAAAAAAATTTAATAGCTTCTGAAATTTGTGACTGTGTGTGCCTGCTATCTGGAAAATGTTGCTATCAGTATACACTCTTAATATCATTGGAGTTAATTACGCTACCATTTAAATGGAAATTCCTTCTGAGGATCAATCCACTGTCCTTTGCAGTGAAAGTGGTGGTGATAGGAAAGGTATTTCTTTAATAATACTCTCAGTTCTTCTGTGATGTTGGTTTATTTAGACTCTCTTTTCCAGGGTGGCTTTAATCAACATTTTCAAGTCTATTTGGTTAGAGCTGAGTAAAATTAACAACAAAACAATTCAAACTTATTGCCCCCCAGTCTGAACTGACTCGTGTTTCTTCTCCAGTGAGTTTTTAAGAAGACTGTAGAAAGCTCAAGAGGAGATTGCTCATATTTTTCCTGTGGAGTGATTGGTAGGTTCCACCAGCCAGAGAGACAGTGTTAGAAGTGCAGCTTTCTAAGGACTCTGCCTTCAGGGCTCTCTTAAGTAAAATTATTCACACAGTGGAATACTATGTGGCATTGAAAAACAAGGAACTCATGAACTATTACACAACATGGGTGACTGTGGAGGACATTATGCTGAGTGAAATATCTCAGTCACAAAAGGACAAATACTTCATAGTGCCACTGTTATAAAAGAGGACTGACAATAAGGTGGGGTGGGGACTGAGAAAGATGGGATAATGTATACAGCATTGAAACAGATCAGGGAGAGAACTGTTTAAAAGAGATATATGATTAGATATTATTGTTATGGCAGGAGTCCAGAATAAAGGTAGAATAGTGGAGTGGACTTAGGGGGAAGGATTGAATAATAATGAAAAAAAAAACTTTAAAAAGTGAATTGGGGGGAAGGTTGGGCAGGGAGAAAAGTGCAACAATGAATGAATGGAAATCCAAAGTCTCTGTAAACTTTCATTAAAATAAATTTAAAATGAAAAAAGTGAAAAAATCTACAGAGTTGTTATTTGTCTGGTTTTTTAGTCTATTTTCCCCCTAGTTACTTTCTTCTTTTTTTGTAATTGTGGGAAGAGTGCTTGCCTACTCCTTTGTTTCCAGTTGGAGTGTCTATTTTATTAACTTGGTTTTTCTTCCTGAATCCTTGTATTATTCTGTTAAATATTTTGTCTTAAATTATTAATTTCTTGTTTCTTTAGTCTTCTTTCCATACATTTAAGAAATTACCTTTCTAATCCTTTGAATTTGGAATTTACTTTCTTAAACTTTTTTATGAGTCCTGCATTCACTATGCCAAAAAAGTATATAGCCATTGCCATCAGTCGCCTCTGACTCATATCGACCCTGATCTTGTCTCTATATATCTGCAAATCTTTAAGAGAGGTGACTGCACATCTATCTCCCTGTCAAGAGGCAGGTGAATCAGAACCAACCGAGGCTGTAATTCTATAGACCACCAGAGCTCCACTTTGCAACCACTAGCACTGCTTGTGTTTGAATTATTTTTATTTTCTAGTTATTCTGCAATTTCAATTTGAGTAAGTTTTGATCCCACGAGCTAATTAAAACTTCTTTCATTTTATTATTTTATTATCAAATTATTTATTATTTTTAACCTATTTTTCATGTCTTTTTTTTTTTAACTTTGGAAACTTATATGTTGATCTCCGTCCTCACTTAAAAGAGCTCCTGTGCCTTAGTCTGTAGGAAGTTGTGTTGTGACTCTTGGGCAACCACTCTGGTAGAGCCTTGCAAAAGTTCTGCGGGAGAAAGAGGGACAATCTCTTTCTGGGTGAGGGTCGGCCATCTAGGAGTCGATCCCTACTCCAAGGCAAGAAGTTTAGTTGATCTCCGTTTAACTTTAATTTTTTCCTCCACGACCCCACTTCTCCCTCTGGGTGGTTCTTTAAAGACATAGGCAGCAAGAGGATTCTTCGTCTCCGTGCCAGAACCGGGCGAAAGAAGACAGGGAGGTAAAAGTCAGGTGATAAAAAGACTTCTGAACGCAGATCGCAGAACAGAACGCTCCCCTAGTAAGCACGGAACGCCAGGAAACACACCCCCCGCGGGTACGCGGCCTGATTGGCCAATCCTCTCCCCTGGGGCGTGACTTCTTTCTTTGATTGGTTTTTAGCTGAGACGCCCCCACTTAAATGCCACGTGTGGATTGGCTTCTTGCTTGGTTCTGACCTCGACGGTGGCCGGCGGAGGACAAGCAGCGTGCAGGGAAAATACTTTTTTTTTCTTTTCCTCGGTGCGTGGGATACAGCTGCCTGCGTGCTAGGGAGTAGAGGAGCCACCGGCCTTCAGGGATATGGCGGCCGCCTCTGCAGGGTCGGTGCTGCTGGTGGCGGCGGAAAGGAACCGGTGGCATCGCCTCCCGAGTCTGCTGCTTTCGCCGAGGTAACAGTGGTGGAGGAGCTGTGGCTGCTCAGGGATAAGGACATGGGGCGAGTGGGCTCGTGCGCGCGGTGGGAGGTGCTGAGAAGGGGGGGGGTGTCGTGGAGGGGAACAGCTCACACCCAGGCCTGCGCTCACCTTCTACTCCACACCCTTCTGCCCACCTCTTACCTCCTGTTTTACCTTAGAAGTGGAGGGTCAGGGGTGGGGCTGCTGCCCTTCCTCTCCTTGCCCCTCCTTCCATAACAAAGCTCTTACAGTTCCTAGCCTTTTTATACTGTGCTGTCACAGCATTCCCTGTGTGGAAAGCCTTGTGTAATGCATGCTTCTTAAGAAACCCAAAGGAGCAGAATGTCCAGTGTTTCAGAGGTAATAAGAAATGAGGCCAGGATGCCTTCCAAGCCTCTATCAGTTCATCCATGCTGACTGTCCCATGAATTGCCTAATGAACAAAAAATCTATCTTGGATGCGGTGCTACCAAGGTGCTGCTTTAGAAACAAGGATGGTGAAAACTCATTTCACATGCTTTGGACACGTTGTTAATAATCCTTGGGGGAAAGGCATCATTCTGGGAAAGGTGGAGGATCAGAGAGGAAAAGTTTCAACACATTAGATGTCCACAATGACTGTAACTCGAGTGAGCATGTCAGAGGTGATGAAGATGACACAGGATAGGGCATGGTTTTGATCTGTTGTTCATAGGGTCACTTTGAGTCAGCAGCACTCTACCTCAACATCTCCCACCTCGGGCGTCCAGTTCTGAGGAAGACTTCTGGAGTTCTTTCTCGGTGTTGGAATGAATCAAACCAACAAAAGTAAACTTCACTTCCAGAAAGCTAGAGAGTTGTTTTGCCAAAAGATCTTGTATCAGGTTTGAACAAAACTATCAGATGATTGACTCAGGTAACTCCACTTCAGATCAGTTTCCGATTGAGAGCTCTGAACTTCAGTGACAGTATCTTTGACAGGAGACACTCTTCTGCTTCCAGGGAGCAGATTTACCTTTCTTCAGACCATCATTATCATTTTAATCAGTCTGGAAGAATGGTGTTCCTTAGTTCATTTATGAAATGGAGATAATCTTGAGTTGTGAGAATGAAATTAATTAATAAATGTAAAGGGTTTAAGCGGAATCCAATACCTAAGAGTCAATTGGTAGAAGAAGACTTTATGTATTCAGTTGTTTAGAATAACTTAAAAGCAGTGTCTGTGTGCTCATGTATAATCATCAAATGCAAGTTTGGTAGTTTTTGCTGCTGTCTGATCTAAATATTGTTAAAAATTTACAGAATTTCGAAACTCCTTACTCAGTACTTTATAAAGTACCAGAAGAAGGGCAAAGTGAGGAGAACTCATCACAACATAAAGAAATAGGGCCCTAAGGAGTCTTTTTTTAATGAACCACTTTGTTTGCCTTGGAATTGAAAGGAGCTTTCCAATAGTGAAGGGTTTCTTTTGAAATGTCAATAAGCTTGCAATCTATGACTTCAGAATAGCTGGAGCTATTGGGAGAGGCAGTTCATTAGTGTTGCATTACGGAGATGTTCAGAACAAACAAAAGTGGAATAATACTATTAGCTAATGAACTTCTCTGGTGGCTTAGTGGGTTAGGATTCAGTTTGCCAAAGGCAGGTAGTTTGAGTCCATTACCTGTTCTGCAGGAGCAAAGTGGGCAATCTGCAGTGTGGTTTCCAGCCTCTGAGAGCACATTGATCTATCATCTATGAGTTAGTTCTAACTCAACAGAACTTAACAACAAAGAGACTAATATGCAGTTAGTTACTGTTTTCTTCACTTGAAAAAGAACTGCTTTAGGGCATCCGTGGCCTTGAAAAGTAGAGTATTAACTGGATTTACCAAGTAGCAGCATAAATTTAAACAGTGGTCAGAACAGAGCAAGGAAACACTGCATAGTTCAAAATTAGGAAAGGAATGCATTAAGGATATGTCCTGTCTCCATTCCTTTTCAATCTATATGCAGAACAGATCATCCGGGAGGCTGGGCTCTATGATGAGGAATGTGGCATCAGGACTGGAGGAAGACTCACCATCAACCTGCTTTATGCTGGTTGATGACAAACCTTTGCTGAAACCGAGGAGGACCTGAAGTGCTTACTGCAGAAGGTCAAGGACTGCAGCCTTCAATATGGATTGAAGCTCAACATCAAGAAAACAAAGATTCTCTCTACTCGGCCAATTGGCAGCATGTTAATAGAGAAGAAACTGAGATTGTTAACAATTTCAGCTACCTTATCTTGGCACCAGCAGTCAGGAAATCAAGACACAAATTGAATTGGAGAAGTCAACAGTCAGGGACCTTTCTGGGCCAAAACATAACATACTAAGTCACCCTGGCTCTTCTTTAAAGCATTACTTTAAAGATGTCACTTGGAGGCCAAAATGCACTTGACTCAAGCCATGGTCTTTTCAATTACCTTTTATGCTTGTCAATTCATTATCAATATTGGATAATGAATAAAGAAGACCAAAGGTGAACTGATGCCTCTGAATTATGGCGTTGGCAAAGACTGTTGAGTATATATCATAGAAGGAGGAACAAATTCATCTTGGAAATAGAGCTAGAATGCTCCTCAGAAGCGAGGATGGGGAGACCTCATCTCATGTCCTCTGAGCGTATTATCAAGAGGAACCAATCCTTGAGGAGGATACCTTGCTTATTAGCAAAAAGAGGAAGATATTCACTGAGATGGAATGATATAATGACTGTCACAGTGGCCTCAAACGTAGCAACTGTAGTGAAGGTGGAACAGGATGAGACAGTGTTTGGTTTTGGGTTACATAGGGTCAGTCTCACATGGAACCAATCAGTCAACAACTTCCTCTTACTTGAATCTACAACTATCACACTTGGTACCAGCAGTCAGGAAATAAGGAGACACATTGCACTGGAATATCTGCAGTAAGGAACCTCTCCAGATTATTGAGGAATAATTATGTCAGTTTGAGGACAAAAGTGCATCTTATTCAAGCTATGATTTTTCTAATCATTTGCTGTGCATCTGAGACCTGGACAATGAATAAAGATGACAGAAAAAGAATTGATGCCTTTGAGCTGTGGTGTTAGTGAAGAACACTGAACATCCCATGGACGGCCAAGAGAACGAACAGCTATGTCTTGGAGAGGGTGCAGCCGGAGTGCTCTTTGGAGGCAAGAATGATGAGGCTTTGCCTCACATACTTTGGGCATGTTGCTAGGAGCAGCTGTTCCTTAGAAAGGGACATGATGCTGGGAAGGGTGGTGAAGGAGAGGAAGACCTTCGATCAGGTGATTGACATGGTGACTGCTGCAGTGGCAGGTGTCAGGAATTGTGAAGATGGCACAGGATAAGACAGGGTTCAGATCTGTTTTTCATAGGGTAACTATGAGTCAGAACTCAACAGTGCCTAACAACAATAATAATCCAGAACCACACAAAGCAGCCATTTCTGTTGAGTCAGTCTGACTCCTCATTACCCACGTGTTTCTGAGTAGAACTGTGCTTCCTAGTATTTTCAGTGGCTGTGAGCCAAAAGGAGCCAGGCCTTTTCCCCACAGTGCCACCGGGTCAACTGCCAGCCTTCTGATTAGTGTCAGAATGCACACCCTGGGTTCTTACTGAGGGGAAGGAAGTCTTATGAAATGAAGTTAAGAAACACTGTGACAGGACATGCCCAGGTCACTACTAGCACCTGCTCAGTCCTGAACGTGGATGAGCACTCTTCTCTGCTGGTCCCTCCATCAGCATTCTTTCTGCAAGTCCTCTTCAGCTTCCCTTTACTTCTCTGGGTTTAATTATCCAGATCTGCTTTTGTCAGATAGTTGAGTGAGATTAGTATGTTTCCAAAGTGTGGTTTGGCCTGGATTTTTAAGCTGTTTGTTTTTAGTCCTTGTCTCAGGATCTGTAATCAGGTACCAGCTTCAGGCATTTGCAACCTGGGAGGGCGACATTTTCAAGGGCAGAGTGCAAAAGAAGTAAAACCAGAATGGTAACTTCTAGATTAGTTGTCTTTCCACTGACTCAATCACTTTGTTGGCTCAAGGTTTAGCTAAGTTCATATCTGACTTGGTTTCCACGTTTTTAAAACTTGAGATTCTTCTGAAAGAAAAATGACCCACCACTCTTTTTTTGTTTTATCATAATTCTGTTTGGATTTCTTTTCTAGGAGATGGATGTGGAAGCAAAGAACCGTGAAGTATGCAACAGCCACAGGTACTGAGGATCATTGGTGGGTCCCTTCACTTTGTCTCCAATTGTGAACATCGGGGAGGGCAAGCTAAATGGCAAAACCCACTCATGTTGAGTTTATTTCTCCACATGGTGACTGTTGCGATTATGAGGCTGTAAATCTCAGAGGGGAGAGGGGAGACTGCCCATCTTTGTCCAGAGGTACAGTTTCTGAACTAAACTGCAAACCTTTCAGACAGCAGCACAACTCTATGTACTGCACCACTAGGGTTCTTTGAACTAAGAAAGAGAAGGTCCAGTCCTTACTCCTTAGTTTGTGCATACTCAGGGGGAGTTCTGCCGGCTGCTTGTTATGTGTTGTCAAGTTGCCTGTGACTCACAGCAACCCTGTGTACACTAGCTCTTAATCCTATTCTGTCCTGAGCCAATCTCATCATCTCTGACAGACCTAATCCCAATGCTCCAGTCACTGAGTCAGGCCATCTCATTCTGCATCTTCCTCTCCTGCACTGTCACTCACCCTTGCAAGCATGATGTCCCTCTCCAAGGACTGGTTCCTCCTGGCCATGTGCCCAAAGTATGTGACTTGGAGCCTCAGGATCCCTGCCTCCAGGGAGCAGCCTGGTTTCAACCTCTTCAGTACAGACCTCTTTATTCTCCTGGCAGTCCATGGTATGTTCACTGCTCTTCTCCAGCACCACAACTCAAATGGATCGATTTTTCTTCTGTCATGCTTAGTTATTATCCAACTCTCAGATGCATAGCAAATAATTGCAAAGACTGGATCAGGTGCACTTTAGTCTCCAGACTGACATCATTGCTCTTCAGTACCTAGAAAGGTCTCTGACAGCCAACTTGCCCGATGCAATTCGTATTTTGATTTCTTAACTGCTGAAACAGAGGGTTGATTGTGGAACCAAGCAAGCTGAAGTTATCAACAACCTCAATTTCTTCTCCATCCATCATGAAACTCCTGACTGGCCCAGTGGTGAGAGTCTTTGTTCTCTTGATGTTGAGCTTCAATTAGTAAAAAACTGTACTTCCAACTGAAAGGTTCAGATCCACCAGCTGCTCCGTGGGAGAAGGCTGGCAGTCTCCGCTTATGTGACTTATTGCCACTGAACACCCCTGGAGGGTCAGCCCCAACTTGATGGTACACAGCGACAACAACAGCAGCAGCAATTTGGTGCATAATAGGTTTAATTCTCACTTTCGATGTTTGGGATTTTCATTACAATATTTTTAGTAGTGAGCCACAGTTTTCACTTCCTTAGGGAAAAAAAAGCACGTTTGAAAACATTTTAAAAAATGTATATTATTCCTGTATGTTTCATCATCATTAGTGTTACTGATTTAGAAAAAAAGAACTTGTTAGGCACTGTTGAAGTTGATTTTTTGACTCATTGCAAGTGATATATATAAATCACATGTAACATATAACAGTTGAACTGCCATGTAGGGTTTCTGAGCTGTACTCTTTAAAACAAAGATCCTTACCACTGGGCCAATTGGCAGCACCACAATAGATGGAGAAGAGATTGAGGTTGTTAACAATTTACAGCTTGCTCAGCTCCACAATCAACACTCTTGGCACCAGCCATCAGGAAATCAAAAGACAAATTGCATTGGAAAATATGTGGTCAGGAACATCTCCAGAGTACTGAGGAGCAATGATGGCAGTCTTGAGACTACGTTGCACCTGTCTCAGGCCATGGTCTTCGTAATTACTTGCTATGCATCAGAGAGCTGGTTAATGACTAAAGATGACAAAAGAAGAATTGATGCCTTTGAGTTGTGATGCTAGAGAAGAGTAGCTTGGACCATTAAGAAAAGAAATAGGTCCTTCTTGGAGAAGATGGAACCAGGTCTCTCCTTGGAGACAAGGATTTTGAAGCTCTGTCTGACATAACTTGGGCATGTGGCCAGGAAGGAGTGGTCATTGAAGAAGGACTTCATGCTTGGAAATGTCGAGGAACGGCGCAGGAGAGAAAAACCCCCAGTGAGATGGATTGATGCAGTAACTGGGGTCATGGGGTAGGTGTGTTGGAATCAGAGAGACTGGCTTAGGATAGGGTGGAGTTCAAAGCTGTTGTACATAGAGATGCTATGAGTTATAGCACATAACAACAACATCTTATAAGAGCAGATTGCCAGTGTTTTCCCTCCTGGAGCTCCTACGTGGATTTGAATCACCAATCTTATAGTTAAACAGACTCAGCTCCATGGCAGTGGGTTTGGATGGGTTGTTATAATTTGATATTTGGCATTAAAATCACTACCACCTTTTAAATGAGGTTTTGGAGGGAGCTCTAGTGGCCTAGTGGCAAGAAGCTCACTGCAATCCATTAGATGCTCTGCTGGAGGAGGGGCCAATCTCCTTCTATGCCAGTCGGATCCAATTTGACGGTACACAACAAGAAAAAACAATGACCAACCAACCAACCAGTCTAAAAATGAGGTTTTGGTGTGCTTTTTAATTTTAAGTGGAAAACACTGAGTAATATAAACTCAACTCCTATTGTTGTCAAGTTGTCACCCACTCATAGCTGACTCTACAATGGATTTTCAAGGCTATAAATTGCACAAAAAGGAGCTTAGATGTTGCTTAGTGGTGAGAAGTTGTGCTGCCGGCCCAAAGGTACACTGTTCAAATCTATCAGCTGCTTCCCAGGAGAAAGGAGGACAGTCTTCTTCCATGTGATTTACTGCCTCTGAACACGTGCTGGAGGGCCGACTGTGAGTTCTTCTACATACATAACAACATACAAATCTCACAGAAGATTGCCTATCTCTCTCCCTTGGAGCCAATGGTAGATTTCACATGACCAGAGAGGTGTGGCCCAACGGTTACCAATGCAGTTCCCAATGGACTATGCCATCAGAGATACCTGAGAAGGTTGAGTTACTGTTACTAAGGCATCTTGAATAAAGTATATTAGGCCAGCCAATTAACTTTTCCTAGCCTTGATATCTATGAGGAGAAAGGAAATGTGCTACTTAATATTTATTGGAACCAGGATGTGAAGGGAGGGAGAGAGGATTAAAATTAATGAGGTGAAGGAGGGAAAGGTAAGAATTTGATTAGATATTATAATTACATTAATAAATTTAAGTGAATATTATAAAACAAGATGTCTTTGAATGAAAATACAATGTGATCTATAAACTTTCACTCAAAATAAAAAACAGCAAACCCTACTGCCCTGGAATATATGGGGTTGTTTTTTATTATTATTACTAGATAGTAATATCTACCAGACAGATCCCCAATCATGCTTGAATACAAATTTTTACTTTATGTCTTAATTTTAGGTTCCATAAAGCTGATTTTTAAATTGTTTGATATAGAATGTTTCTCACTCTCATTCACTGTTTCCAGTAACATTTGGACATGATTTTCATGGTGTTTTGAACAGGAAGAACCATTACCAAAGTTCTCATTGCAAACAGAGGAGAAATTGCCTGCAGGGTGATGCGAACAGCCAGGAAAATGGGTGTACAGTCCGTGGCTGTTTACAGTGACGCTGATAGGAACTCAATGCACGTGGACATGGTATGTTAAAAACTGTAAGGCAACACTTTGGAAGTGATTGTTTTAGTTATTGTGTCAATATTGTATTTCTTTATATTCACTGCTTGTATTTGTTACTAATAACATTGTTTAAGTAGGTAAATTAAATCTACTTAAGAATAATTTAAGATTTAAGATAATATCGATCTTGGAGGGCTAATGGGGATGTGAAGGGAGGGAGAGGGGATTAAAATTAATGAGGTGAAGGAGGGAAAGGTAAGAATTTGATTAAATATTATGGTTAATTACATTAATAAATTCAAGTGAATATTATAAAACAAGATGTCTTTGAATGAAAATGCAGTATGATCTATAAACTTTCACTCAAAATAAAAAACAACAAACCCTACTGCCCTGGAATATATGGGTCTTTTTATTATTATTACTAAATAGTAACATCTCCAGACAGATCTCCAGTCATGCATGAATACAATTTTTTACTTTCTTTATGTCTGCAGCAAGATTACAGACACAAATATAAATTCATAGGGACTGAGTTCACCTGACCTTCTGTCCCAGACGCAGGCCCAGTGGGCCTTTGTGACTCCAGCCACTTCTTTCTCGTCCTGTGCAGCGACTGTTTCAAGCCTGCTTTGAACAGTTCCCATGTCTCATCACCTCTCCACCTGTTCCATTCTCAGTCATCCGTGATTACATGGAGGAACTTAAACACTATGAGCTTCCCGCTGCAGAACCTGCCTGCGTTGCATCCATCCTGCTTCCGTCCCAAGCCGGTCATCTGTCTGTGCTCAGAATTCCTTCTTCCCCCTTCTCGTCTTCCACTTCATCTTCCACCAGCTCCTTCTTGTTAATATTTAGATCCCACCTGCTGGCGTCTCCCACCCTCATAACTCTTGCTAGCCCCACATTGCCTTTTTTCCACTCCCCACTTACCCATTTATAGTCAATTTAAGAATAATTTGCCCAGCTGTTTCTTCTTCCTCATCTCTTATTTTCTTTGCAACCAGCTTCTGTAAAGTGTCTTTGTTAATTTCTCCCTTGAAGTTATTTCTGCTAAAGTCACCAATTATGACCCCATGTCCCTAAATCCCAAGGGACTTTGGCAGCTTTCAGCTGATTTCTCAGTAGACTTGACCACCTGAACCTTCCTTTTAGAAATTGATTCTTTTTGACCTCTAACCCTTCTCTGTTCTCTTTTTCTGGGTCAGATCTATCTCCCAGGTCCTCTCAGGACTCAGTCCTTGTCCCTGTTCTCATTGGTATAGTCTCTGTGTAGATGACTTCATTTGCTCCTAGAGCTTTGCTAAAAATTCCCAGATTTCTGTGTCAGGTCCAGACTTTCCTTTGATATGGTGAATCTCTGAGCCAGCTCAGCACCTCTTGATTTGTCACAGGAATCAAACGTAAAATGTCTGATTTGCCCTCAGTAACCTAGTTTTCTTGTGAACTTCACCAGCCTGGGAGATCGTAAACTGTTTCTCAAAAAAAGAATAATAATATTGCTGGAGATTTGAATGTCGCCCTCCTTCCATCCCACTCTGTGTCCTCTTCCCCTGTACTCTCCTCATCTAGATAATCATTGTGAGCTGTTAATTCCAACTTCTCCATGATCTGTCCCATTTCCCCCCCTGCCTTCTACCATGTGTAACTGAAGGCAGAGCCACCATTATTTTTTTCCTCTGGTCAAATGCTATCACTTCCTAATTAAATGAATCACCCTTCTTACAGTCTATTTTCTTTTTCTTTTAATTTTTTTATTTTTTGTGTGTGTACCATCAAATCTGATCTGACTGGTACAGGAGGAAATTGCCCCTCCTTCTCCAGGAGAGCGTCTGGTGGATTCAAACCACGTACCTCTGGGTTTTCAGTGCAGCTTCTTGCCACTAGGCCACCAGAGCTGCCCCAGTTTATTTTCTACACTTTAATGAGAGCAGTAGGTTAAAAGCAGAATTTGATCATGTTACACCCCCACTTTAAGCCTTTTATAATCTACCAAGTTAACAGTCATTTTTAAAAAAGTGATGGTAGTTGGTATTTGGTAAAAGTGGTTAGGAATTTATTTGCTCATATATCTTGATAGAGCTCTTTAGTGGTGGAGTAATTTCAAAGGATGATTAACCAAGAACCATTAAAATATATGTGTCCTTCAACATTCCTTGATGTCTCTGTCCAGAGAAATAATCACATATTTGCAAACAAAAGTGTAAGAATATCTGCTATAGTCTTGCCTTTACAACCTGCATGTCCTAAGGTACATGGTTAAATGAACTGTGGCTTCTGTGCTAAGGAATACATTGCAACAGTTATTAAGGGGGGAAAAAAAATTAGACAGACCTACATGTACCAGCAAGGAAAGCGCTCCTGAGACATCAATTGATGGTGATAACTATGTAGTTTGAAAATAGGTATATTTGTGTATTTATACACACACATTCATATATATATTATACACACACACCCCTATATATACACACTCATATAATATGTACACACACACACACAAATGTATACTTACACACATACATACTGCAAAGTAGTCATTAAATCAGAACCAACTGGCTCCAGCAGGTTTTCAGAGGCTGTAAATTGCACAGCAGGAGTTTGCCCATCAAGGAGAAGCTAGTATATTCACACCACCTGCCTTTGGGTTGATAGCACAGCTTCTTTCTCAATAGGCTACCAGAGTTCTGTGTACACACACACACACACACACACACACACACACACACACACCCATACATCCTTCTAAATTACATTTGTATAAATATATGAATAAGAAGGAATTGACAAATATATGGAAAAAAAAATACATCCCAAATTGAGCTTAGTGGTTTGATGTAAGTCATGGTGGGGGAAAAGGGCAACTTTGCCTTCCATTGTTTATTTTTAGAATGAGGATGGATTTGTGACTTGTGGAGTTAAAATATTTTTTTTAAAACATCTTCACTTTATTTAAAAAAGCACATTCCCCTTCACTTTGTATGTTCTCTTAGAAGAAAAAGTTTTTCTACTCCCTCACTGTTGTTGTTAGGTTCTGTTAGTTGACTTCTGCTCTTGGTGGCCCCAAGTGGCAGAGTTGAACTGACTGTAGAGTTTTCTTGCTTGAAATCTTTACGGAATCAGATTTCTAGGTCCTTCTCCTGCAGAGCAGCTGAGTGGTGTTGAATCACCAACCTTTCAGTTAGCAGCCACTTAATCATTGTGCTACCACGGAGCTCTGGTGGCCTAGTGAGAAGAAGCTGCACCGCTGTCCCAAAGGCACACAGTTCAGATCCACCAGCTGCTCCACAGGCACAGGATGGGCAGTCTGCTGTGCGATTTACAGTCCCTCAAATCGGCCTGGTATCTCCCCAGCTTGGGGCTTTCATGTCCCTTTTCTTTGCTGGGAGGCTCACCCCATCTCCATTCCTGTTCCTGTGCTGGAGGAGTTTCCCAGACCAGCCTCTGAGTGGATCATATCTTCTCTAACTTGCATGATGTTCAGTCCTTATTACAGTTGTCATTAAATAGGTTAATTTTGTGTCTGTCTCTCTTGTCATGTGACTGAATGTATATTTAGGAGTCTCTCCCCCCTCTTGATCACACAGCATGCTTACTCGGTACAGGCAGCAACTCCTCAAAGTGCCCCACACGGTGAAGAGTCAGTACATCTTTGAATGAATGAATGAATGATGCTTTGTATTTGATCCACTTTAAGAGAAATTATGGTTAAGTGAAAATTTTAAAGACTAGGATACAACAGTTCCCACGCATATAGCAGCAACATTATTAGTATACTTAGTGATTATGTAAACATTGTTACTTTGTCTCTTTCTATATTTACCTGCTATGTATTTTATCTCTGTTGTCAGACTCTGTGCTTTTGTCATTGAATAGGTTTCAGTGGTTATTATGGTTCAATAACCAGGTTATTCTGTTTGCATATAATAACAGCAGGGCCTGTTGCTTTCAATTCTGTGACACTTTAAACTCCCTCCAGTAGTCTATACACTTGAAAATAAAATATTGAAATCCTCTTTATGCAACATATTCCAAGATTGGTTTATTTTTATGGCATAGACCTGAGCTAGTACTTCTTTTTCTCAGTCCTTGAATGGTTCTTAGGAGCCAACACTTTAAACAATGATTGTGAAATAAGCCCAAAGCAGTGCTTCAGGGCACCAGCTGTGCTGTCTTTTAAGCATATGATCTTTCTGAAACAGGCAGATGAAGCATATTCAATTGGTCCTGCGCCCTCACAGCAGAGCTACCTTTCTATGGAGAAAATCATTCAGGTGGCCAAGCTCTCCGCTGCACAGGTAAGAGTTGTGAAGATATTTACACTGGAGAGGGAAGAAGTTTTGTACATGCTACACAAAATCACTAATTTTTTTCTAGAAATTATTTTCTTTTTCCACCCTTTCTCAAAATATTTGCATTTGCTTGCTGGGCTGTCATTTCACAGTAGGCATGGCCTTCCCAGCCCTCAGCCACCCTCCCTTTCTACTGAATCCTCTGAGCTTGAAATCATTGGGGAAGTAGGAAGTGAAGGGTCTAAATAATTAGTTTAAGCTAACAGAGATTTCTGCCTTCTTGTCTTCAAAGACAGACCCTAAGAACATCAAAATAGATGGTGCTCTAAAGTATAAGGTAAAAGAAAATGAAGAGAGAATTTTTTCTATCTTCTATTTCCTCGTCTTTAGCAAAGGAGCCACTTATTTTTCCATTATTTCAGCCTTGGAACTTTGATGTTAGTATATCTCTCCTTCATCCTTCAAAATGAAACAGGAATTAGTAAATAGGATGGGTAGGGTGAAGGGAAAGGAAAGCCATAGTGAGGTGTCAGTAAGACTGTAAATAATGGTTTCTATGTTGCAATTAATGTTACAGTGTTACATTTTGTTTAATGTTATAAAACAAAATGTATGAGTGATTAAATGAAAATCAATAAAAATATTAACTAGGAGCCACATCATGTTGAATATTTCTTTGAAATTTCTCCAGAGAATTCTCCCACCACACTTTTCCCCCGACGACATAATTAGTCGCTCAGATTCTTAGCTGAACTACTGTTCGACCCCTTACCTAGTTGATCATTACTGTATAATACTAGATGCTTGGGTTTTATATACTAGTTTTATTATTATTACCTGATTTTAAAGAACAAACCTTTCCCTATTTCCCTACCCTGTCCTCAGTTAGTGAGTCTTAATTAATTATAAGGTAAAATCCAAACTCTTTAGCCTGGCAAAAGATATACTAATGTGTCCCCATCCTCCTGGCTAGTTCTTTATTACAGCTACACTTGTCTTTTCTGTCTCCCCTTTATGTGCACCCAGCTGATTTCTCCTTCTGAGCATTCGTTCATTTTCTTCCACCTGCCTGAAGTGAGTTCATCCCCCTGCTGAAAGGTCAGACACAGCCTTCAAAACCTCTTGCCTTCAGTTCTACTCACAAAGCACAGAGTAGAAGGCTGGTTTTAGGGAACCCAAACAGCAAAGTGATAGGCGGTCAAGCAAAGAGAAGTATATTTGTGTTTATTTAGGGTATTAAAACACACACACAGCTGCCAGAAACCCAGCTGATTTTAGCCCATGGCAGCTCCATGACTCCGTGTGGGAGTTGAACTGCTCTGTAGGATTTTCTTGGCCTTTCTTCTGTGATGTCACCGGGTGATTGAAGCCATCAACTTGTAGGTTAACAATAGCCTATCACAGATTACTGCCAATATGCAGGGACCTGAAACGACTATCTAATTGACTCTGACTCATAATGACCCTGTAGGACATACAGAGCTTTGCATAGGATTTCCAAGACTAGAAACCTTTATGGAAGCAGAGGACCTCATCTTCCATGAGCAACTGCTGGGTTCAAGCACATCGAATAGAGAATGTATTTCATTCTTCATAGAAGAAAGCCATTGAAGGATTTGAAACAGGATTGTGAAGCGGTAGGATTAATATTTAATGAGTTTTCCTGGTTGCCATAGGGAAATAAACATGGAGAGTAGGGAAGGAAGGACCAGGGGTTAAAGTGCTTGGCTGCTCGCCTGCAGGTTAGTGTTTCAAACCCATCAGCTCCTCTGAGGGAGAAAAATGAAACAACCTGCTCCCATTAAGTGCTCACATGGAGCTGTCCTGTGCTGTCCTATCTGACTCCACAGCAATGTGTTTGGGGGTTTATTTGGTGAGAAAACGGGGCTGATAACACTGAAAGAAAGCAGAATTTGGAGACAATGACAATAGTTTCCTCGTCACGAACTGCTGCCTTTTATGTACTTATGTCTCTTACACATTTCCTCATGTCACTTCTAGCCACATTGCATTTAGTATCCTATTCTAGCCTTTTTATTCATAATAGCTGCCACTTAACAGTTTTACTTTCTTAACTCTCTCAACCCCGTTGTGGTGTGTTTTTTTGTAAGGGAAGGATGCATCTTGCACTTCTTTTTATTTTTCAATTTTTTAAAACATTTTATTGTTATTGTTGTTGTTGTTGTTGTGTACCATCAAATGGGATTTGACTGGCACAGGAAGAGATTGCCACTCCTTCTCCAGCAGAGCATCTGGTGGATTTGAACTACGTGCCTTCAGGATTGCAGTGCAGCTATTTGCCATTAGGCCACCAGAGCTCCCTTGCACTTCTTTTAGATCCCTATACCAGCTGAGAGGCACTCTGAAAACACCCTTAATGTGCCACTGGACGTGAGTTTTCTCTCTGTATTCCAGCATTGGCCTAGGGGTAAGGAATTACACTGTCAACACAAAGATAGGTGGGTTGAATCCATCAGCTGCTCTTCTGGAGAAAGATGGGCAGTCTCGTCTATGGGATTTACTGTCTCTGAATACCCACTGAAGGGTCAGCTAGAGTTACAACAACAGCAATTCTGCATTAGTGCTCTTCTCTTTCAAATGAGAGATTGTAGTCTCAGTAAGTTAGGCATTAATGTATGCATGTGGGTATTTAGAAGATATTTGTTTCGAATGATTCATTTGATTAACGCATGAGATAAAAAGCAGTTAGATAAGAAAGCTCCAAACCCAAAAGAACTGTCAATGAATCCATTCCAGCTCCTAGTTCCATTCGGATTCTGAGGCTATATATCTTCACAGAGGGGAACTGCCAGTCTTTCTCCCGCTGAGTGGTTTGTGGACTCAAACTATCAACCTTTCGTGTGTTATTATGTGCTGTCAAGTCGCTTGTGACTCATAGTGGCCCTATATACAACAGCCTTATACCCTGCTCTGGCCTGTGCCAATCTTATTGTCTCCGATACTCCAACCCCCATTACCCTAGTCACTGAACCAATCCATCTTATCTTACACTGTCCCTCCACCCTCCCAGGCATGACGTCCTCTCCAAGGACTGGTCCCTCCTTGCAGCATATCCAGAGTATGTATGACAAAACTTCAGAATACCTTTCTCCAAGGAACAGCCTGGTTTCACCCTCTCCAGGGTAAATCTGTTTGTTCTCATAGCAGTCCATCATATATTCAATACTCTTCTCCAGCACCACAGCTCAAAGGCATCAATTCTCTTTCTATCATCCCTAGTTATTGTCTAGCTTTCTGACACATAGCAAGTCATGACAAAGACATGGCCTGGATCAGGCGCACCTTAGTCTCTAGTCTGACATTGTTGCTTCTCAGAACTCTAGAGAGGTCCTTGATAGCACATATTTCCAGTGAAATTTGTCTTTTCATTTCCTGACTTCTGGTGCCAAGAATGTTGATTGTGGAGCCAAACAAATTGTAATTGTTAATCTCAATCTCTTCTCCACCTATCATGATGCTGTCACTTGGCCCAGTGGTGAGAATTTTAGTCTTCTTGATGTTGAGCTTCAATCTGTATTGAAGACTACAGCACTTGACCTTCTGCAGCAAAGCAAATGCCTCAGGTCCTCCTCAGTTTGAGCAAGCAGGGTTGTGTCATCTCCATAATGCAGGTTTTGTTGATGAATCTTCCTCCAGTCCTGATGCCACATTCCTCCTCATACAGCCCAGCCTCCTGGATGATCTGTTCTGCATACAGATTGAAAAAAGTATGGGGATAGGATACATCACTGGTATACACCCTTCCTGATTTTGAACTGTGCTGTGTCTCCTTGTTTTGTTATGATGACTACCTCCTGGTCCAAGTATAGGTTTTGTATAAGCACAATCAAATGTTCTGGGATTCCCATTCTTCTCAGAGTCAGCCACAGTTTGTTGTGATCCACACAATCAAATGCTTTGCATAGTCAATGAAACACAGTTAGACATTCCTCTGGTACTTGCTTTCAGCCAAGATCCACCTAACATTAGCTACAATATCCTTAGTACCACAGCCTCTTCTAAACCCAGCCTGCACTTCTGGCAGTTCTCTGTTGGTGTACTGTTACAGTTGTTTTTGGATAATTTTCAACAGAATATTGTTTGCATGTGATATTAATGATATTATTTTATAATTGCTGCACTCTGTCGGGCAACCTGTCTTTGGAATGGGAATAAATACATATCTTTTCCAGTCAGTAAGCCAGGTGGTTGTCCAACAGATTTCTTGGTACAATTTAGTGAGCAGCACATCCAAGGCAGCATCTGTTTATTGAAATAAGTCAATTTTACGACATCAATTCCTGGGGCTTTGTTTTTTGCCAATTCTTTCAGAGCCGCTTGAACTTCTTCATCTTCACAGGCTCTTGCTCATACACTGTTTCATGGAATCTTTCTGTGTCAGCCAATTCCTTTTGCTACAATGACTCTGTATACTCTTTCCATCTTCTTTTATTGCTTTCAGGATCATTTCATATTCTGGCCAAAGCATCCCTAAGTATTGCAACTCACAGCTTGAATTTGTTCTTCAGTTCCTTCAGCTTAAGAAATGGTGAGTGAGTCCAGCCCTTTTGATTTTCTGACTCCAGCTCTTTGCACATTTCACTATAATACTTTGTTTTGTCTTCCCAGCAAAACAAATCAATCTCACATACTTTTTTGCCCTTTGAAATCTTCTGTTCAACTCCTTAATTTCTTGTTTTTTTCCCTTTGCTTTGACCTTTCAGTGCTCCAGTGCAATATTCAAAGTCTCATCAGACATCCATGTTGGTATTTTCTTCCTCCTCTGCCTTTTTAATGACCTTTTGTATTCTTCATGGATGATATTCTTGATAGCCTCCCACAGCTCATCTGGTCTTCACACATTGTTGTTCAGGCATCAAACCTGTTCCTTAGATGGTTTTGAAATTTGAGTGGGATAGTCTTAAGGTCAAATTTTGGTTCCTGTGGATTTGATTTCATTTTCTTCAACTTCAGCTTGAACTTGTCTATGAGTAGTTGGTGGTCTGTTCCACAGTCAGCACCTTGCCTGGTTTTCACAGCTTATATTTAGCTTCTTCAGCAATTCTTTCCACAGATGTAATCAATTATATCCCATCAAGAATAGAAATTCCAAAACACGTAATTGTGCTGGCACAAAACCTGCAGATAGACCAAGAAGCAGTTGTTGGAACAAAACGAGGTGGCAAAGTGTGCTTTAAAATTAAGAAAGGTGTGCATCAGGGTTGCATCCTTTCTCCATACTGCTTCAATCTGAATGCTAAGCAAATCTGAGAAGCTGGATTATCTGAAGATAATGTGGCATCAGGGTTAGAGGAAAACTCATCAACAACCTTGTTTAAGAAAGTGAAGATGACTTGCCGCCTTTACTGAAGAAGATCAAAGACTATACCCTTCAATATGGATTACACCTCAATATTAAGAAAAAAATATTCACTACTGGACCCATAAGTTCCATGGCAATAGATGGAGAAAAGATTGCAGTTGTCAAGGATTTTATTTCACTTGCATGTACAGTCAAAACCCGTGGTGGCAGCAGTCCAGAAATCAAAAGACATGGTACTTGGGTGAATCTACTGCCAAGAAGCACTTTAAAGAGCAATGATGTCGGTTTAGAGACTAAGGTGTGCCTGGTCCAAACAGTGGAATTTTCAGTTGCTTTGTATGCACATGAAAGTTGGACAGTGAATAAGGAGGAACAAATAAGAATTGATGCTTCTGAATTGTATTGGAGAAGAATATTGATTATATTATAGACTATTGAAAGAACAAATAAATCTGTCTAGGCTCAAGTGCAAGCAGGGTGTGTCTTTGAGACAAGGGTGGTAAAATTAATATCACATGCTTCATCAAGAGGTGCCAGTTCTTGGAGAAGACACCATACTTGGAAAAATAGAAGGGTCAGTGAAGAAAAAATTCCCTCTAGGAGATGGATTGGCACAGTAACTGTATCAGTGGACGTGAGCATGATGTAGACTGATGATGGCACATGAAAGGGAAGGGCTTCTTTACTGTTGTTAAGTGCAGTCAGGTCAGCTTTGTACTCAGCAAGATTGGAATGAAATCAGAAATTTTAGACCGAGAACAAGTACTTTAACCCTGAGCTAAAGATTGAGCACAAAGTAAATTTGATGAATCATAGTAAGATCAACAAATGAATGGATACTGCAAAGAACATCTTACCTTGGCTTTTATTTTAAAGAAGTTACTTGTTCTAACAAAGGACACTGAATAATGTGTAATGATTGTGAGACAAGTTTTCCCGAACTAAGGGATTGTCCTTAATGTGGTCATTTAGACACGAGCATACTTACAGGAGGCTAGAGCCTTCTGCTGGCTTTCGGGGCCCTGGTGGTTCAGGTTCTGCCACAGAGCAGTGGGCAAGCTTGAGCCACTGACCGTTCAGTTAGTAGCTCAGCACTTAACCACCAGGGCTCCTTCTCCTTCACCAATATGCAGAAATTCACTTGTGAGTACCATAGACCCCACACGATGGTTTCTTAGCTATGATACCCTAAACAGGATCCATAATTTTTTTTTAATTATATCTCTTCTAAAGAGATTCTTAAGAATCAGCAAAATGTAAAACTGTTGCTCTTCAAAAGAAACCATTACAAACATGAGAGGACACACAACAGACTGGGTGAAAATAAAAGCAGAACATATTTGATAAAGAACTTGTGTTTCAACTATCTAAAGAATGTTTATCACTCTTTAATACAAGGCAGACTATCTTGAAATAGGGTTGACCGAACCTTTTCTTCTTACATTCTCTTAGGTATAATTATAATGCATACTTAATTATGGTTTTAGAGGAACTCAGAGAACTACTGAATTGCTGTCAATTCAGCGTATTGCTATTGAGTTGTAACCAGTTCACAGCTGATGATCCAGCAGGTCTTCAGGGGCTGTGAGTCACACAGGCGGAGATTACTCTTCCTTCTCCTGAGATTCTGCTGGTGTATTTCAGCTGCCAGAGAGGTGCCATCCTTGATCTCATAACACAGCTCCCTGCTTTAAGTCATCTGCATGTCATCTGCCTTTTGCCTTCTGTTTGCTGTAGGATTTTTGTTTTCCCCCTTTTAATCCTGTGTTTCCTCTTTTATAGCTTTTTGTCCCTCAAGGTTGTTGCTTTCTCTCTTCCATAGAATAAAGAGTCTGTAAACAAATTTGTCAAAACTCTTGAGTAAATTAGAAGTGACCAAAGTCTGAGGAATTTCTTTCACCGAAGAATCCATAGACTCAATATATAGTCCTTAGCATTCATTTTCACTGTTTAGATGCTTTTTTAATTTCCTCCTTAGTCTTGTGTAAAGATCACATTGGCGGCTAGTGAATCAACAGTAGTTGAATTATGTATTAGTGTGTTTATGTCAGCTTTGAGTACCACGGTGTGAACTCTCGGTAAGCCTTACACGGAGTGGAGCGGCGTAAACAAGTCTGCCTTATTATTCAGAAGCCTTACATTTGTCCTTGCAAATATTCTTTGACATCCCCTCTAATAGCAATATCATTTGAAACTGAAATACAGATTCTTCTGACAACAATAAGGCTTCAAAACCTTAGCGTGGATAGGTTTTAAACGACTCTTTGAAAACATGTTTTTGTAGTTAGTGTTGTTTATTGCTGTCAAGTTGGAGTCAACCATAGCTGACCCTCCCACAAGTTTTCAGAGGTGAAAATTGCCCATGTATCTCCTGCAGAGCAGCTGGTAGATTTGAACTGCCTGCCTTTGAGTTCACAGTGCAACTTCCTGCCCTCTCGGCCACCAGAGCTTATATACCTGTCATCAGATAGGGCTCCCTGGAAGACCATGATGTTGCCTATGTCAAAATTTTACCAGTTTAGTGCAAGTAAGTGTGTCCCTTTTATTTCTCACTTTTAGGCTATCCATCCTGGATATGGTTTTCTTTCAGAAAACACAGAATTTGCTGAACTGTGTAAACAAGAGGGAATTATTTTTATAGGTCCTCCTTCATCTGCCATTAGAGACATGGGTATAAAGAGGTATGAATTTATGACTTTTTACTGAGGTCAATTGAAATGGTTTATTTGGACTGTGATGATACCCTCTCTGCTGTCAAGTTGTTTCTGACTCCTAGAGAACCTCTATCAGGTTCTAAATTAGGCTGAAAACTATCTGTCTCGCCCTTAGAGCTGCTGGTGGACTCAAACCCCCAGAGCCACAGGGGTCAGCAGAACAGCTCACTAACTATGCAGCCAGTTCCCTTCCAGCTGTCAGAGGAGTTTTAATTGTATTCTTGTTGTCATAATTATGTTATTTATCTGCCACATGGAGAGTCCCATAGAGTTAGAGAGGATAGCTGATTGCTTAGTATTTATCTTTTTTTTTTTTAACTAATTAGTGATTCTGATCAATATATAATTTTGGTTTTGGGGATAAAAACTGGATTAAGCCACCACATGGGTTAAGGAAAATGAATATTCTTGTATTCGTATTAATACTTGTTATCTCAAACTGTAGTCTTTTCTTTCTTTATGGAATATGTTCTTTTTAAAATTTCAATTGTGTTTATAGGTTTATATCCTATAAAAATGCTATCTTTGTTTCTCTTGTGTAAATTAATGCATATCGGCATCTCTTTCTCTCTCTCTCTCCTCGTTTTTAATTCTAAAGCACATCTAAATCCATCATGGCTGCCGCCGGCGTACCTGTGATAGAAGGTTACCATGGTGAGGATCAGTCTGACCAGTGCCTGAGGGAGCATGCTGGGAGAATCGGTTATCCTGTCATGGTCAAAGCCGTCCGTGGTGGAGGCGGCAAAGTAAGCTCACGTGTGCTTGTACTTGCCATTTCAGGCTGGTCTTTTTTTTGGTCCTCTTCAAGTTGTAGCCTCAGCCCTCTTTTCTCTCTTAGGGCATGAGGATTGTTAGATCGGAGAATGAATTTCAAGAGCAGTTAGACTCAGCCCGGAGAGAAGCTAAGAAGTCTTTCAATGATGATGCTATGCTGGTTGAGAAGTTTGTAGACACGCCAAGGTGGGATGCACTTTTATTTTTGTGGTTTGGAAGTTTTAGGTTATAAAAGTAATGCCCTATATGTTGTATAGAATTCTAATAGCTTATAAGATAGTCGGTCCCGTGTCCTGTGCCTGACTTAACCATTAGTTACATTATGGTGCTCCTTCTTCCACCCGTGTTCTGCAGTAACACACAGTGGAATAGTGACTAGGATCTTAAATGGTATTAGATGGCAGACATTTTCCCATGTCAGTAAATACAGATACAGCTAAGTACTTCTTTTAATTGTTGCATTTTGTTTCTGTTGAAAATGAATACACATAACCAAACCTAGTCCATTTCAAGTTTTTACATGTATAATTCAGTGACATTGATTAGAGTCTTCAAATTATGCAACCATTTTCATTCTTTTCTGGCTTGTTCCACTCTCACTAATATACTCATTGCCCCTAATGTTCCCATCTAATCTTAGAAGTTGCCGTGGTCAATTTGTCCCATGTAGATAGACCTTAAAATAATATGATGGCTCAAGACAGACAAGTTAAGCTAACTTACTGTGTTAGAGTCAGTTCTGAGTCGATTCTAACTCAACAGCTCATGACAACAGCATTGTGTTAAAAACAACAACAACAAACAGTGTAAGTGCATTGGGTATTGTGATCTATTTCATGAAGATGGACAGTCAAAATGAGCATCAGCTCATGGCTGAATTCTGGGGTTCAGAGGTCAGACGTTCCTCCTCCTCCAGTCTTTACCAGGTTGACAACATCTGTTCCCCTTCTCTGCTGAGTTAGATATTTGGCTGCAGTGGCCTCACAGAGCCTCACCAACCATGTTCATAGGAGGTTTGTTAGGGAAGTAACAAGTTACCACCTACGATTACGATTCAGAATGACTGAAGGCACAGTACATCAATCAGAACAGCCTGTTTACAGACGGGCCTTTCTCTGCCCTTGTGTCCTGCTTTTGCCCTGCTCAGGCAGGTGTTGAGCTCCTAAGCTCTGCCAATATTTGATTGCATGTTTCTCACTGTACACAAGCCTTAGCCTGATGATTCTCAGCTCTCTCACTCTGCAGGTCAGCATACTCCATAGCTTCCTTGTTCTGGGTACTAGGAAGCCTACCATGTGCTCTTGTGCTGGTCTCATAGTTCTGCTCCCTCTACTGCCATCGTCTCTCTGACATGCTTATTGCTCCTTCTTGCCATCTTATGCTTTCACTAATGTTACAAATGTCTGTCTGCGTGGTCAGAAAGGTTCTGAGCACAGGGACCTGGAGTCTAAGTGGCACATTCTACTGCTGGCTCTTTTTTCTTGATAATACTGAAGGCCCTTCTCTCTGCCCTTTGGATGGCTCATTTTATACTGAATGGGATGATAAAACAGATCAATTTGTCCTTAAGGATTCTTTGTGTCTGTTTGCATGAGCTCATCCCTTGCAAGGGTGATACACACTCCTTATCTGCAATATTAACTAACTTTCCCATATCTTTGATAGGCCACAGCACCATTTCTGCTAGTCCCACCAAGCCATTTAGTGGAAATTATGACTATGTCAAGAAAGACTATATAAAAGTGATTCAGTACACTACATAAGACTTCAGAGAATATTTTTGGTTTAAAGCTTAAGAGTTCTCTTTGGGTAATTATTTCAGGGGATCGTCTAACCTCACTGGTACGTCTAGAAAAAATTTTGTTCTTTATTTTCCCCTTTTTGATCAAGATCAGCATAATATCCTGAAGCTCCACCCACACTGTTGTGTTGTTCTGTGCTGTCAAGTTGGAACTGACTCATAGATGACTTTCCAGTATTTTTTTAAACTTAAGTTTTTTTAATTTCAGTTACCATTGCCTCCATATACATTGTGTTTCATGCACGTACATTGTGTTTGATATGATCTTTCCTTTCTCTTGTATGTCATTCATGTATATTGTGGGGGATTTTCCCCCCCTTACAGTCATCTTACTAATAACTACATTCATGGAAGTGTGTGTGTAATTCACCTACTAAATGCCTCATGCCCTAAAGTCCCCATATTAGATAGCCGATTTCTGATTTGCCCATTTCTATCAAACCTGACTGTGGAGACAGTGAGATTGTCTCAGGATAAGACAGGGTTCAGAACTATTATGCATAGGGTCACTATGGGTCTCAGATGACTTGACAACACATAACAACAACAACAGTCAAACCTGAGAGAAGAGTCTCTTTTATCTGGTTAGTTTTCAGAGGCTGTAGATTGCACAGAAGGAGATTTCCCATCTTTCTCTCCAGAGCAGCGGTTGGATCCACACTGTCTGTGTTTAGATCAGCAGCGCAACTCCTCACTAACTCGACTACCAGGGCTCCCACACAGTGGCATAAATCAAAACCTCCTTTCTGATCCTGACTGAGGAGTGATATTCCGTTGGATGTCTGTACCACATTCTCTTTCTCCATCATGTCTTGATGGGAGTTTAGGTTACACTGCAGGACATTAACTTTGGTCTACAGGACTCTTTTTGCTCTCCTTCCAAGCCTCTAGTGTATGTAGACTGAAGAATACACACACTGCGTCATATGGTAGCTTTGGGTCTCTTGAGGAACCACCACACTCTTTTCCACAATAGTTATACCATTTTGCATTCTTACCAGCAATAGACAAAGAGTTCCAATTTTCCCACATTCTCATCAACATGTGTTGTTTTCTGCTTTGCCTTTTAAAAAAGAATCTTTTGTTGTTTGGTGCCATCAAGTCACTTCCAACTCATAGCGTCCATCCATATGACAGAGCAAACTGCTGTCCACTCTTATGTCCTCTTCACAATGAATAATATGACCGTGCCTTGTCATCATGTTTTGTGTTGCTGTGTTTGAGCTCATTGTTGTACTCAGTGTGTTGTTCTAGCTCATAGAATCTTCTTTTTTGCTGACCCTTTACTTTTCTAAACATGATTTCCTTATCTGTGGATTTGTCCCTCTTGGTAGTATGAAGTATGTGAGATAAGTTTTGCCTTTCTTGCTACTAAAAGGCACATTTTGACTATACATGTTCCAGATTAGTTTGTTGTGCTGGCCGTCCATCCTATCGTAAACATGCTTCATCAACACCATAATTTAAAAGTTCCAATTCTTTGTCCTTCCTCTTTCACTACCCATCTTTCTTATGCGCATGAAGTGATTGACATCATTAGGTACTATCCCCTACTTTTCAGATGAGGAGTCTGAGCCATAAAATGCTCTTATAACTTGCCTGAGGTCATCCCACCAAGAAAAGGTGAAGCTGGAATCCAGACCTAGGCATTTTGGCTTGAGAGTCCACGTTGTTGGTCATTACATGATACTATTTCTCCAGATACAGTATTGAAAATGCCTTGAGGATTTCTATAGTTGGGTGTTTTGTTTTTTGTTTTTTTTTTTAAATGTCATTTCTGTGTCTGTCAGTTAAAATAAAATACTGATTATAATGTTTTCTGTCAATCCAGATTTTCTATGATAAATACTTTAAAGTTTAACTGTAATACAAGTAACTTAACAAAGAATAATTCTTTTGGGGATCATGTCAGAGAAAGATTTACCATGAAAGGAATGAACTAAACTTTCAGGTCCTTTCTTTGTAAGAGTCACTTCCAAGACCCAGTACCTAAATCTGTATTTGTTAATTTTGTATTCTTCTTAAAGACCTACTCAGCCCACTGGTGTTAAGTTAGGCCTGAATCAGCGACCCTAAAGGACAGAGTAGGCCTGTGCCAGAGAGCTTGTAGTCTTCATGGAAACAGACTTCCACATCTTTTCCTGCCAAGCAGGTGGTGGGTCCCAGCCGCCAACCTTCTGGTCAGCTGAGCCCTTAACCACCATGCCCACCAGATGCTGTTCTTCTTCAGGAATTTCCACATGGAGCTGCATTTCAGGATCTACAGTATCCAGATCTGTCCCTGATCATGGTGTAGTCAGTTAAATGGGATTGGAGTTAATAGCTCAAAGGAAAAAAAATCAGCCTCAAAACAGATCAGTTGATTAGAAGAGTCAAGTATATACCAGTATTAATAGGAAGTAAGTAAAAAAGGAGCAGATTTTAGAACAAATGGAAGACTCCTTTCTTCAAAATCTTTCAAAAAAACACTGGGCTAACTATCTGAATTAGCCTATTGTTGAGGAGAGAGCACAGATACCTATATTAGTGACTAAGATAGTGCCAATATCTTTTTATTTCTTAAGCTTTAATTTCTTTGTGAAATTCTAACTGTGTATTTCCTTGCAGTGTTCTCAATTCCCCTAAGAGTTGGGAAGCTTCTAAAATGTAAGGAGTTGACAATATGTGTCCTTTTATTTTCCCGTATATGTATTTCCCTTTGTACTACCTTTCTCAGAATAAGTATCAATAGTATTTTGAATATGAATACATTCTATACTTCTGGAAAATACAGAAGATAGAAACACGTTGATAATTCCATCATTTTAATGTAAGCATTAGCAGTTCTATTACTTTCTTTCAGTATTTCCTTGTAATAACTCTTGAATAGGGAGCTCTGGTGTTGTAATGAGTAAGGAGTTATGCTGCCAATCTGCCAGCAGCTTTATGAGAGAAAGATGGGTATTCTACTTCTGTTCCTCTGAAAACTCACTGGAGAGAGTCAGCCCTTGAGTTCGTTTTGACTTGAGGGCACATAACAAAAATAACATTTGCATGTTCTGATAATCATGTATGTTAATTTATACCTTCCTAAGACCCTCAATAAGATTGACATGTGACTGTTTTGGTTTTTTTCATTTTTATTAATTTTAATAAACATTTACAGAGATTTTGGATTTCCATTCTTCATTGCTGCACTTTTCTCCCTATCCACCCCTCCTCACCAGTTCACTCCTCTCTTTGAAAATAAAAAGGAAAAATAAAAAGCAAAGTTCCTTCATTGGTATACAGTTCCCCCATCCCCTCACTGCCCTGCACCGAGTACACTTCTCTGTGCAACCTTAATTCTGGATTCCTGTGCTAACCATAATACTCAATCATATATCGCCTCTAATCTGTTCTTTCC